GGGAGAAGACACAAATCAATAGAATTAGAAATGAAAAAGGAGAAGTAACAACTGATACTGCAGAAATATAAAAGATCATGAGAGATTACTACAAGCAACTCTATGCCAATAACATGGACAGTCTGGAAGAAATGGACAAATTCTTAGAAATGCACAACCTGCCAAGACTGAATCAGGAAGAAATAGAAAATATGAACAGACAAATCACAAGCACTGAAATTAAAACTGTGATTAAAAATCTTCCAACAAAAAAATGCCCAGGACCAGATGGCTTCACAGGCGATTTCTACCAAACATTTAGAGAAGAGCTAACACCTATCCTTCTCAAACTCTTCCAAAATATAGCAGAGGAAGGAACACTCCCAAACTCATTCTACGAGGCCACCATCACCCTGATACCAAAACCAGACAAGGATGTCACAAAGAAAGAAAACTACAGGCCAATATCACTGATGAACATAGATGCAAAAATCCTCAACAAAATACTAGCAAACAGAATCCAACAGCACATTTAAAGGATCATACACCATGATCAAGTGGGGTTTATTCCAGGAATGTAAGGATTCTTCAATATATGCAAATCAATCAACGTGATACACCATATTAACAAATTGAAGGAGAAAAACCATATGATCATCTCAATCGATGCAGAGAAAGCATTTGACAAAATTCAACACCCATTTATGATAAAAACACTGCGGAAAGTAGGCTTAGAGGGAACTTGGCTCAATATAATAAAGTCCATATATGACAAACCCACAGCCAACATCGTCCTCAATGGTGAAAGCATTTCCGATCAGGAACAAGACAAAGTTGCCCACTCTCACCACTGTTATTCAACATAGTTTTGGAAGTTTTAGCCACAGCAATCAGAGAAGAGAAGGAAATAAAAGGAATCCAAATCGGAAAAGCAGAAGTAAAGCTGTCACTGTTTGCAGATGACATGATCCTATACATAGAGAATCCTAAAGATGCTACCAGAAAACTACTAGAGCTAATCAATGAATTTGGTAAAGTAGCAGGATACAAAATTAATGCACAGAAATCTCTGGCATTCCTATATACTAATGATGAAAAATCTGAAAGTGAAATCAAGAAAACACTCCCATTTACCATTGCAACAAAAAGAATAAAATATCTAAGAATAAACCTACCTAAGGAGACAAAAGACCTGTATGCAGAAAATTATAAAACACTGATGAAAGAAATTAAAGATGATACAAATAGATGGAGAGATATACCATGTTCTTGGATTGGAAGAATCAACATTGTGAAAATGACTCTACTACCCAAAGCAATCTGCAGTTTCAATGCAATCCCTATCAAACTACCACTGGCATTTTTCACAGAACTAGAGCAAAAAATTTCACAATTTGTATGGAAACACAAAAGACCCCGAATAGCCAAAGCAATCTTGAGAACGAAAAACGGAGCTGGAAGAAACAGGCTCCCTGACTTCAGACTATACTACAATGCTACAGTAATCAAGACAGTATGGTACTAGCACAAAAACAGAAATATAGATCAGTGGAACAGGATAGAAAGCCCCAAGATAAACCCACGCACATATGGTCACCTTATCTTTGATAAAGGAGGCAGGAATGTACAGTGGAGAAAGGACAGACTCTTCAATAAGTGGTGCTGGGAAAACTGCACAGATACATGTAGAAGTATGATAGTAGATCACTCCCTAACACCATACACAAAAATAAGCTCAAAATGGATTAAAGACCTAAATGTAAGGCCAGAAACTATCAAACTCTTAGAGGAAAACATAGACAGAACACTCTATGACATAAATCACAGCAAGATCCTTTTTGACCCACCTCCTAGAGCAATGGAAATAAAAACAAAAATAAACAAGTGGGACCTAACGAAACTTCAAAGCTTTTGCACAGCAAAGGGAACCATAAAGAAGACCAAAAGACAACCCTCAGAATGGGAGAAAATATTTGCAAATGAAGCAACTGACAAAGGATTAATCTCCAAAATTTACAAGCAGCTCATGCAGCTCAATAACAAAAAAACAAACAACCCAATCCAAAAATGGGCAGAAGACCTAAATAGACATTTCTCCAAAGAAGATATACAGACTGCCAACAAACACATGAAAGAATGCTCAACATCATTAATCATTAGAGAAATGCAAATCAAAACTACAATGAGATATCATTTCACACCAGTCAGAATGGCCAGCATCAAGAAATCTAGAAACAATAAATGCTGGAGAGGGTGTGGAGAAAAGGGAACACTCTTGCACTGCTGGTGGGAATGTGAATTGGTACAGCCACTATGGAGAACAGTATGGAGGTTCCTTAAAAATCTACAAATAGAACTACCATATGACCCAGCAATGCCACTACTGGGCATATACCCTGAGAAGACCATAATTCAAAAAGAGTCATGTACCAAAATGTTCATTGCAGCTCTATTTACAATAGCCCAGAGATGGAAACAACCTAAGTGTCCATCATTGGATGAATGGTTAAAGAAGATGTGGCACATATATACAATGGAATATTACTCAGCCATAATAAGAAATGAAACTGAGCTATTTGTAATGAGGTGGATAGACATAGAGTCTGTCATACATAGTGAAGTAAGTCAGAAAGTGAAAGACAAATACCATATGCTAACACATATATATAGCATTTAAGAAAAAGAAATGTTATGAAGAACCTAGGGGTAATACAAGAATAAAGACACAGACCTACTAGAGAATGGACTTGAGGATATGGGGAAGGGGAAGGGGAAGCTGTGACAAAGCGAGAGAGAGGCATGAATATATATACACTACCAAACATAAGGTAGATAGCTAGTGGGAAGCAGCCGCATAGCACAGGGAGATCAGCTCGGTGCTTTGTGACCACCTGGAGGGGTGGGATAGGGAGGTGGGAGGGAGGGAGATGCAAGAGGGAAGAGATATGGGAACATATGTATATGTATAACTGATTCACGTTGTTATAAAGCAGAAACTAACACACCATTGTAAAGCAATTATACTCCAATAAAGATGTAAAAAAAAAGAGATGAATGGATAAAGAAGATGTGGTACATAGAACAAATGGCATACTACTCAGCTTTAAAAAGCAAAGAAATTTTGCTATTTGCAGCAACATAGATGGACTTGGAGGGTATTTTGGTAAGTGAAATAAGTCAAACAAAAACAAACACTGTAGGATATCACCTATATATGGAATCTAAAAAATACAACAATCTACCAAATATAACAAAAAAGAAGGGGAGTCACAGATACAGAGAACAAACTAATGGTTGCCAGTGTGGAGGGGGAGGAGGGGGCAATACAGGGGTGGGGAAGTGAGAGATCTAAACTACTGGGTGTACGATAGCTCAAAGATGTATTGTACAACACAGGGAATATAGCCAATATTTTGTAATTACTGTAAATGTAAAGTAACCTTTAAAAAGTATATAAAATTTTTTTTAAAACAGAAATCATACTGAAAATTGGAAACAATTTAAATGTCCATCAACAGAAAAATGCACATATAAATTATTGTATTTCCCTACATGGGAATCCTACATAGTGAGGAAAGTACATGAACTAGACAGATCTTTACGTGTCAGCATGGATGAACCTAGCAAAGATAACACTAAAAAAAAGCAAGTAAGAAGAGAAAACATAGTAGAATACTATATGAGGTTTAACAATACTTAAAAATGTAGCCTAAACAGAAAGACATCCATGACAGTGCTGGAGACCAAGTTCAGAAGAGTGGTTACCCAGGGTCAGCTGGGGAGTGGCTGTGATTGGGAAAGTGGTCACACCAGGCTCTTCAACAGGAATGGTAATGTTTCACTTCACACGCTGGCTGGAGGACAGAGGAGTGTCTGTGATGTTATAATGTGAGCACGCTGCATGTAAAAGCCATTGCTGACCACATCTAGGGGATCTGATGCGCGGGAGCTGGTAAGTGGGTGGAGGCATCGAGGTGGTGGTAGAAGAGGAACGTTGTACGCATAACGCCTAAGGCCTGACCAGAGGACGACCACTGTTCTAGAAACTGGACACAAATCCAACTTCTACGGCCAATGTTAAAAGACAAACTGAGGCATATTTAAAATTTTAAGACTTTACGTGAGCAAAAATAGATTCAATTCAGGCACCACGAAAGCAGAAGAGGTGAGGAGCACTCCAGCCACAGGAGCTGCAGAGATGTTTCTTTTAAAAGGGCAAGAAGCAAAGCAAGGAAATGACTGACTTGCTATAGCTTTAAAGCCTAGTTGGTGGTTTGTGACTGGTTGTCCTCAGCGGTTTTCGTCACCCTGAGGCGATGACAGGCTTAGATTTTGGTTGATTTACCTAGGCAACCGCATCACTAGAGCCACTGCAGGCTAACGGCCTCCTTGCAGGGTTAATTTACTAACACCAATTGTCTGAGTCCTTCCTCTTACTCAGTCACTTCACTTCCTACGCCTCAGTTTTTCTTCTGTAAAGTGGATATTCAGTAGTAAATTCTCTGTGGAGTTGTCAATACAAAACAGAGTGATTATTACTAACCACGATCATGTCCTAAATGCACGGAACACGTCACCATTTGCCAACCACCGTGTCAAGTCAGCAGAAACTACAGAAATTAAGAGCTCTCCGCAGAAATTCACACACCCGTGCACCAGGTAAGGGAGCACAGGCAGACGTCCACTCAGACTTTCCTGTGTCCCTCACGGAGTGCACGCTCTCTCCTGGCGGGGCGAGCACAGAGACTTATCGGGAGTTTACTTTTAAAACGCATTCATATAACCATGTCTCACTTTTGTTTGGATGAGTCAGCAAACGCTTTTTGGAAACGCCAAATTCTCCACACCTCCTTCCTTTCGCGCTGCCCTAGTCACAAAGCTCCAGCCCTTACTCCTCAGGCCGCGTCACCATGGGAGACGGGGCTGCGAGCGGACGCACGGCGAGCGTGCTGACGTCCTCGAGCCCCGCCCCCACGGCCCCGCCCTCGTGGCTTAAACCCCGGCCCCGCGGCGTGCAGGGCGTTGATGCCGGCGCTAAAACCAAACCAAGCGGGGTCTCCAGAGCGCGGCATGGAGGGGCTGGCCTAGCTGAGGACCGTGACCCGATGTCTTCTGGCTGCGACGCCGGTCCTGCGTACACTGCGGGGCCGCAGCCGCGGGGCGGTGGGCGCCCGAGGGGCCGGGAGGCGAGCCGGGGCCCCCAGGAGGGTGTGGGCATCGTGTCCTCAGCCAGCGTCCCCGAGGCTGCGCTCGGGCCATGATCATTTGGTGAAGCTGCGCTGGGACAGTGCAGCCGACTTCTCGCGCTCTGAGGACCTGTGCGCGCTGCAGGGTTCGGTGCCTCTGCCCGCCATGCGCGCTTCCCTGCGGAAGGCCCTGCTGGAGTTAAGGCCTCCGCGGGGTAGACTGGGTGCCGCTCCTGAGCACCCTCTGCCCCTGATTTGTATCTAGAGCTTCTTCCAGCCACGGCTTGGCGAGACAGGTTTGTATTTCCCGCTTCCGGGGGCTGTCGTGTGGGCGCTGCGAAGCGGGGTTTTAGATGGTACAAGGTGGAGGGTGGGCACTAGAACCGGTGCCCAGTGCCCGGGTATGCGTGCACGAGACAGGGCATGCGGCCTAGGACTCCTGCCAGCTAGGTGACCCCGGCCGAGTGCCTTAAGGCTTCAAGGTCTCAGTGTTCTCATCTGTAGCATGGGCTTAACAAGATCCAGTCTCTGTGGCGGTTACAAGGATGCACTGTGTTAATGCTTCTACATTCTACAATGTAGAACACTTAGCACAGTTTGGAGCATCGTTAATGGTTGCACAGATGTTACCTGGTGTGTTGAATGACTTTGCCTGGTACAGACCAAAGCGATTAGGAAATGGATATATCCCAGCTTCATTTCCTTTCCATTAAAACAGGACTCAGGAAAAAAAAATTTTTATTTCAATAGTCGTATCATACAATGCAAAGAGCACTGGTGTGAAGGCAGCTTAGAGTTTGAATTCCCGGGCTTATGCTCTCTGTGGCCTGGGCAGGTTTCTTTTAAACTACAATCTCCATACTTGTAAAATGACATTAATAACCACTCTTTCTGTGGGTTCTTAGAATTAATTAAGCAGGTTATGTGTGTAAAGTATCCTGGCACTTGAATGAGTTGTCAGAACCAAGGGCTGCTGGAGACGATGCTTCTGCCCTAGGTAATCTTCCTTTCTACTGGGCAACAAGTAAACACAAGCACAGTAGTCAGTGCTCTGAAAGAAGTGAGTTTTGGTGCTACAGAGCATAGAATCTCTTTTTTCTTTAATTTAATTTATATTTTATATTGGAGTATACTTGATTTACAATATTGTGTTAGTTTCAGGTGTACAGCAAAGTGATTCAGTTATACATATATCCATTCCTTTTCAGATTCTTTTCCTGTACAGTTTGTTACAGGATACGGAGTTCCCTGTGCTATGCAGTAGGTCCTTGTTGATTACCTATTTTATATATAGTCCTGTGGATATGTTAATGCCAAACTCCTAATTAATCCCTCCCCCCCATCTTTCCCCTTTGCAGAGCACAGAATCTTCAAGGGAAAGTTCAGGGTAGGTTTCTTGGAGGAGGTGCCATCCTTTCTAAGGATATGTAGAAGCTCCTGGGGTGGCAGGAGAGAGCAGTGTGTGTCAAAGTTTGAGAAATATAAGAAAATATGGCAAAACTAATGTACAGGAGTGGAACTCAGGGTTTGGGAAAGCAATGAAAGTTAATACTGGAAACCTAGCGGGGCCCCACAGAAAAGGGCCTTGTTTGTCATGTCAGAAGTTTGGATGTTAATCCTGAAGGCTGTGGGAAACACCAAAGAACAGTGAAATGGACTTCAACAGTGAAATGGACTTCTGGTTTAGAGGCTCACTGGGACCTCCATGTGGAAGGCAGTTGATTCAGTGCAGGGTGAATTGTAATCTAAGGGTCCCACTTACGTTATAAATGGTGGGACTGGGTTTTGCAGATCTGAGAGAGAATGGGTGAGGCCTGGTGACCAGTTAAAAAAGGGAGGGCAGCAAGCGTGGGTGACAGTTTACAGCTGCATCTTTTTGTGAGATAAACAGAGCACAGTAGAAAGGGATTGGGTGTGGCGAGAGGATCTCACTTCATCTTCAGTGCTTTACAGGGGCCTGGTAGAGAGGTCTGGGCCCAAGGTACAGATCTGGGCTTTTTGGGAGGACAGTTGTTTGAAGGCATGGGAGAGACTTAGGTTATCCACAAGAAGATCCAAAGAATCATAGGTCTGAGAGTTTTTTAAGTGGGTATATTTGAGGATGTTTATAAGCTGAGAGAAAGCCAGCAGAGGAAGGGTATGAGGATCTAGGAGAGGAAATGATTGTTCATTTGTTTTCGAAAAGCTGAATACTTATTGTGTGCCTGGCCCTTTTCTAGGATCTGGGGTTCACACCATGTGTTATCTCTTCTGCAAGGACAGTTCAACTCATCGCCTGGTGAAGAGAAGTCAGATTATTCTTTGCATCCCATTCAGGTATAAGAACTGTTCTGTACCTCTGAAGGGACTTTACTTAAGCAGAGTAATAAGTTAGAAATCAAAAGAAATTATAGCTGGAAGGGACCTTAAAGGCCACGGTACTTAATTTTGCCTAATATTTTACATTGAATGTAAGAAAAATTTATTGTAGAGCCCATTCTCTTCAGAGTTCCTTCACTGAACTTTCTTTATGTCTTGCATCCAGTGGGGCTAGCTTGTAGATTTTGGCCTCCTCCTAAATTTGCTTCTTCATCCATATTACATTTTGCCTGGACTATGGCAGAAACTCCTGGGTGGTTTCTTGGCCCCTGGACTCAGTTCCTCTAAGTTCATCTGCCTACTCGGGTTAAGTGATCTTCTAACATAAAAAGATGTGCTTAAAATAATGCTGCTAATGGCTTGGCCACACCGAGTTAGTGCATACTAGCCGCCCAGCGTGTGCTCTGCACAGAGGCGTGTAGTCTGAACTGTGCTCGGCCAAGCCTCATGGGGCTCTTTGGCCCTGAGGAAGGGGAGCTTTTTGTGATCACTCCCTTTATCTAATTGGTCCTTCAGCAGCGGGGTGCCTTTTTCTAATCAGCGGAGGCACCCTTACTCAGCCAGTGGTAGCCCCAGGCCTCATCACCTGTGGGATACAAGCCATGCTCTCTGCCAGGCTTGCTTCAGCCAGCATCTCTATTTTCCTTTCTGTCTCTTCTCACACTAGGACCCCTGGCCTTTAGTCATCCCCACCTGCAGTATTTAATGTGCCCAGCAGGTGTCAGGCTTGAGTGTCTTTGCACAGATATTCCCTGTGCAGTTAATGCACATTGTACTCCAACTCTGCATACTCTCATCTTTCTAGATTGTACTTCAGGGTTATCATGAAGCTGTCACTTAGACATAAGTTTTTGCCTCCATAGGAACCTCTGTGCATAAAAGTTATGTTTATTTATCTCATGTGATTGAAATTTTGATTTTATACATCCTCCTCCTTAATGAAGGCTTTAAGGGCAGGAGTCGTTTCTAATCCTTAGCACAGAGCAGATGCTTGTTTTTTTTATTTAGATGCTTTTTAATGATGATAAAATGTATGGTTTAAATCACTCATTTTACAATAATTTTGGTTTAGGTTGTGGCAGAAATAAAGTTTACAGAAGTTGTGTTCCTGCGATAAGAAATACAGATGTGACCTTGCAGTTGTGTAAAGCTCTTAATTGCTGTGTAAGTACGTCGGTGCGCTAAGGAACCTGGAGCTAAATGGGCTAGTTCTGAGAGAGAGAGACTTAACTATGTTAACAAAGGTAAGCCTTCATTGTGTCCTGCCAACCTTTGATAGTTGCTTTTGGGGCAAACTAAACCATAAAAGTTTAAACTATTCCTCCCCATTAAAGGGATTGAATAATTGGCTTCTTTGGTGCACCTTGTCTTGTGAATTCTCCACTTGGAGATGGAGGTTTAGAAAGTGAGTTTCAGTCTTGTTTAAGTCTCTTCCCATCATACTGGTCTCGTGATTTCCTACACACCATGTCTGTCTACATTTTCCTGTCTACCTTTTCTTGGTGGTGTTCATGCGTGGATTGTCTCCTATACCTGCTCAAACCTTGGTCCATTCTCATTTGTACCATGGAAGTTTGTCATGCTGGATACTGTCAGAATTAATCTTACTTAAGTTTGTGTTAAGCCACAAACCATGCGTTTTCTATATTTTCTGTTTTTTGTGTGTGTTTATATTTTTATGGTTTCTCTTCAAGAAATAGTATGGGAAGGGAAATAGCAAGATATAAAGAGCAAAAAAGTCATCATGATCTTTAAATTGTTAGAACATGTATCTGCAATAATAATTATAATGCACTGTGGTATGTGTTAAAATAGGAAGTATATGTAACATCCCATAGGAGCAGCAAATTCAGTGGTGTTAGTGGGAGTGTGTCATGGAAGTAATCACAAAGCAGGTGACTGTTCCTTGGGGTCCTGAAACATTAGTGTGTGTTCTTTGTGTCCAGTAGTGGTCTGGAAGGTTCAGGAAGCCTGCCTTTCAATTTGAGGGAACAGAGTGTTCGAGGTCCTCTCTCTTCTATTGCTCTAGTATACTGCATAGCAGCTAATAAAATACTGGGTTTATAGTTGACATTTAAGTCACTGATTGATCATCAAGATTGGCATGTATCATTGGAACTGAAAATCGGAAGAGTCTTATGCTTTTTAGGTTTTTCTTTTTTCCTTTGTCTCAAAAGTATGTAGTACTTTACTGAGTGGTTGGGAATAAAGTTTGCAGTATTCAGTGTATTCAGTTTTAGGACCTAAATAGAATTAAAGTGTTGCTATAAACTGGAATAAGACTTTGTTACTGACAAGTTTTAGAACGCATCAGTTAATCAATTACCTCTTTGGGAAGATTGTAGTTAATGATTTTAAAAATGTGGCTGTAAACCTCCAATTGACTCAAGAAAAGCAAATAAGTCAAGATTGACAAATGTATAGGCTCTTCATCTTATTGTGTGTGGGTTTTTTATTTTTCCTTTTAGTTATTTGTCAAGGTATAAAGAACTCTATCACTCTTAAGACAGTAAACTTCACGGGGTATAATCTGACATGGCAGGGAGCAGATCACATGGTCAAGATCTTAAAGGTGATTTTATGTTTAAACTTTCATGAAAACATGTGTGATTGAAGCACATTAACATATTGATACAGATGGCAGTTAATTTTTGTCTTTTAATACATGTGAGTGCAGCTTTTGTTTTTTTGAAAGAATATGACCAAATGGTAATGTGAATTGCTGTTGCATAAAGTATAGTGTTGAATCCCCAGTCTTTGCACTTGAGTTTAACAACTCTGTGGTTTTCTATCTTCTTCCTGAGACACTTAATCTCAGGTTCATCCTCGTCACACAGAGTGGTAAATTAGAGAACGATTAATATCACCATTTACAGAAGTTAGACTGAAATCTCAACCATCCTGAACATAGGAGCTGAAGGGGCCTCTCAGCAGTTCAAAGAGTCATTACGAAGCCAGTCGGTTGAATTCTGTTCACTTTTCTCCGTAGCAGAGCCTTCCCCGTCCTTCTTTTGAGCTTATTTATTTTTGTACACAATTCTATATGGATACTGTACATAATACTAAATAGTTGTATTAACTGGGTTTAACTGGTGATGTATTTACATCAAGATCTAACTTCGTTTTGTTGATATCTTTTTAGGGGCTTTGCATTCATCAAAGCTCGTGATGTATGTAATCAGTTGCTCGTGTGTAGCTATCATATTGATGATACATAGGGCTTGAATTGGGAAAGGTGGATGGGCATTCTCCTTGCTTTTTAAACTGACAGAGCCTTACAAGAAGCATTTCCCTCTCTGAAATAAATCCATGGAAAATATGTTTGGTCGCTCTCCCAGTGCAACTGTGTAGTTGTGTGGATTTGGCACACAACTGGCAGCCTTGTGGTTATGTCTGTAAACAAGGAAGCCTGTTCTCCAGTCTGCAAATCAGCTGTTACCCAGTGAAACGAACTTGACTGCCATTTCTGACCCCTCACATGGAGCTCTCATACTCAAGAATGTTCATATGTTTGCAAGAAACGTTGTTTGCAGGCTATGTGTACAAATTTCCTGATCTGAAAGCCAATATAAAGCAACATTTCCCACACTTCTGCTCTCTCACCAAGGCCACACACATTCCCTCGCAAGCTAATACTGTCAGTATCAGATTCTCCTTCCCAGTGGTTCTGGGAGACTGCATAGTTGCTCTGTGAAAGGCACCACTGCTGAGGTTGAGAGAAGAGCATCTTGGGTGTCAGTCCTGCCCTTGCATGCCCAGAGAGAGGGGTGTGCACCTCGTTCTCCTGTTCGGATTTTCCTATGCTGCAGGTTTGCTGCTTGTTGTCAAAATGATGTCCTAGTGACTTGTCTTCTGCGTAGTTACATAACCCCAGCACACTTCTTTATGATCTGTAGACTTTTATGGGGTTGTGGCCAGGTCAGGTTTTAAATGTTGGGAAATGTCCAATTGAACAACATTGCAGTGGCAGTGAAGCTTGATAGAATTGTATTACTGTTACCCTAGTTTTGGCTTCAGGGTGATGAGAAGATGAAATTTTTGATGGGTCAGTTTTAGTTATGTATGTGTATGTGATTTACTTTTTAAAATTCTAACATCTATTATACACAGCTTAGATATGTTGACTTTCTGATTATTCTTCTGATTCTTTATCAGTCCCTTTACTGGTGTATTTTCCTCCAAAAAACTACATTTTCTTCCAGACTGTTTTTGTCTGATAGTGAAAAATAAATTTTTCATTTGCAGTCTAAAGTTGATCTGAGAAAAAATGGTTACCTTGGATCTTCACTTGGCTTTTGTGAAAGAAAATAAAATAATATGGACAATTCCCATTACTAATCCTAACCATGTACAACAGAGGTCTGTGCAGTAACATAGCGAAAATAAGTTCCTGTAATTTTACTTAGTCATTGCTTGTTTTAGACTAAGGAGCAGTGAGAGACATTTATAAATAATGATGCCTCAGATCACTTTTGTTAAATGTCCTCTAATATTTGGATATTTGGTATCTGGCTTGTGTTGTCTTTTATACAATCTTGTTTTCTTTCTTTGCACTTTAGTTTAACAACTCTGTGGTTTCCTATCTTCTTCTTGTGACACTCAGGTCCATCAGAATTTCCTGTGACTGTGACAGTAGAGAGTCCTTCCTCCTCAGAAAATGAAGAGGTCAATGAGTCCTCAGAAAGTGTTCAGGAAGAGCCAGAGAAAATCAGTTTGAAACAAGAAGCATTGCCGGGACAAAGTTATCACTTGAAAGCTATAGAGAAGATTATTTTTCAAACGGAAGCCTGATTGCAATACGGCAGAGCTTGTGTGAGGATTCTGTTTTCTCTTCCCATCTGCATTGTATCCCCTTGAATGGTTCCTTAAGCTTAGACCAGGGTGAATGGTGGACATTTGAACTCTAGGAAATAAAAATCAAAACATGTCATTAGTAATATATTTTCCTTTCCTTAGAACCTTAGTATATTAGATTTAGGGAGAACCTTAGTGATCATAAGATAAAGAAATTGAGTTCTGAATGAATGTAGTCAGCTGATTCAGTGCTCTTGTTTTACAGGTGAGAAAATTGACAGTTCTAGTTGAACTCTCTTTTTACAAGAGGAAAATATGGCCTCATTTTAAATAAAAGTAAAGTTGAAAAAAGTTTTCATGTTGATATTCTCCTTTCCTAAAATAAAAAATATCAAGAAGCTACATTCTGTTACCAAATAAACCTGACCTCTAATGTCATTCCATACTTTTGTTTGTATGTACAGAAAAGAAAAATTGATTTTCATAAGAAATTTTTGCACCTAAAAAATAATATATTTATTTTATTTCAACTTTAATGAAGAGCTGAACATTTCTAGTAAATGAAGGAACACCATTTGTGGGGGACCTTGTCTTTGTGCTACAAAGTGCATGTTTAATTTTTAAAAATTATTTAATATGATTTTCTTTTCGTATGAAACATGAAACTTGACCGGTTTCAGAACTAATTATCCCATTATTGTAGGACTATGGCAATTAACTCTTTGATTTTCAAAAGTTAGATTTTTATTTTTTTAAGTAAAATTAATGATAATATAGAGAAATTTTAAGAAAAAAACTTAGAAAATTATGAAATGTTAGAGTAGGAGAAATCTATAGTTCATGTAGAGTTACCCTCTTTCATTTTATAAATGAGCACCTACAATTTTTAGCACATAAGTGGTTTATTAGTAAATGGCAGAGTACGACAAGACCCTAGAGCATCTAACCGCCTTCCTTGTCATTTTAGATGTGCTGTATTCATTTCCTTCACGAGTAGACCAGGAGATTGTATTTCTAGTAGTAATGATAGACACTGGGGAAGACCAAGAAATTTACACACTGGGACCACAGAATAGCAGATTCAGAATGCACTGAGAACCCTTTCAGCTCTTCTCTGTTTTGACAAGACACTACAAGGATGGTATCAATGTGTTTAAGTATGTAAGCCCACAACAATCAAGAGATTTCAACATAGTTTTGAAAGACGGAAGACAAGTGGAAGAGTGTGAAACTGAAGCAGTAGAACAGAGGAAAAGCATCACCTAGAGTATGCACAGGGATCACCTGCAACTGAGGAGGATTCTGACCCCACCTGAAGAAGTAACCCCATGCTCAGATGCACATGTAGGAGAGAGGGTGGAGTTAGTTAAAAGTATGACTGAAATAGGGGAAATCATTCAAGGGTTGTGTTTGGAGGAGTGGACTCCCAGCCCCGCCCTCACGCTCCTGAAATGAGATGCTTTCATTTTGAAAACAGTGAAACTGGCGAGAACTAGGGCAGCTAGTGTGAGTTTTTATAACCTAGAAAATTGTGTTTGGGGGAGATCCTATTACAGTTACTCCCCGCTTCTTCCTGCATAAGAAACCAATCAATCGTTGACTTCAGGGAGCTTTCTGCACTCATTCTTAAATAGAAAATAACTGTCATTTGCCTGATAGTTGAGTAAAGCTTACAACATGAGAGAGGGGGAAAAAGTGTGAAAACGTATCCTGGTAGGACCGGGGACAATTTAGGGAACAAAATAATTTAAGAAAAAACCCTAATTAGTATCCTGAGAGAGGTTTAAAAAGAGCTAGCAACTATAAAATAAGACTAGGGTGTTAATTAAAAAGAGAATCGTCAGAAAGCAAGAGAGGTCTCTTGGAAATGAAAATATGGTTGCTGAAATAACTTCAGTAGGAATTTTAAAAATTTCTCATTATATAAAAAAGAAAGACACAATGGAAAATGTGATAGCAATATGTTAGAGAGGCTGCATCTGGGAGATACAACATGTTACTATTAGAAACTCCAGACCCAGAAAAAAAATGGAGGGAAGCTGTCAAAGGGCAACAAAATTCCCCACAGCTGAAAGTAGACATCAGGCCTCAGATTGAAAATAGTTACTCAAGTTTTGAGCAAGATGAACAAGAATAGACTCATACCTAGGCACCCTTCATTACGAAACTTTAAAATACTGAAAAAATAAATTAACAGAATAAAATACTGACAGGATACATCCATTCCAGAGAGAAAAGTACTGGTCACCTAAAAAAGAAAGTTAAAATCTGACCTTATCATACTTGTCATCAGCACCATGGATCCTGGAAGGCATTAGAAAGATACCTCCAAAGTTTTTCAGGCACATAATTTTCACCCTAGTGGTTTGTATTCAGCCAAACTATCAGTCATAAGTGGAGGCTGAAGAAGATATTTTGTACACAAAGAAATTTGAAAAATTGACCTCCTGTGCTACACCTTAAGCTATTTATAGAAATAATCCAGCAAAATGAGGCAATAAACCAAGAAGGAAGGTAATAGGGGATTCAGTGCAGAGAGCAGCTAGTCTAGATTGGAGAGGCTTCTATTGATTGTGTGATTGAGAGCTTAGAAACACCTTGAGGCATGTTGTACTTACTAGGTATTAGGCACTGTTGGAAGGGAGGAGGGAGAGGAAGAGGAGAAGGAACTTGAACTCCAGAGGAGAAAAGGCTATACTGACATAAACCTGAAGCAAACTAAGCTATGGTTGATTTTTAACCTACCATTGGTGAGCAAGAGAATAATCCACTTAAACTTGACACTATAGATGTTCCCCTTTTCAGCGACACACATGGGTAATGACCACCTATCTAATTTGTTGTCCAAACCAGAACTTGTCCAAACTCCTTACACTTCAATAGTGTAAGGAGGCGCTCTAATGCTGTAACATCAGGACAACAGGTATAAACTGGAACAGCCCAAGGCGGCTTGGGGTATGTGGTCACCCTGCACCCTCCACACCCTGCACCCTGGCACAGTATGGATCGAGGTGTAGTCTATACACAGAGGCACAGTACATCTGCAGTGGGCAATATTAATTTCATTGTAATAATGGCAATACTGTCTTGGTTTGCAGCTTTTATTGTCAACTTGCATGTAATAACAAATAACTAACCTAAACTATACTTAGTATGTATTAGTGTTAACTTGGTATGTACTGAAATGTATTGTGTACTAGTATGTATTTAGTATATATTAGGCTCTAAGTGTTTTTGCATATATTAACTCATTTAATCCTCTCAATAGCCTTATGAGGTTGGTGCTAATATCATTCCCACTTTTGAGAAAAGGAAGCTAAGACAGGGAAGGAACTTGCCCAGGCTGTACCTAATTTAGGGTTGGATCGAGGCTTTGAGTTTAGGCTCTCCACCTGTTCTCTTAAACCTTACTCCCTACTGACTCTCAAGTAACGGTAGACTTAACTGCACACAGAACAGAATATAAATTTCAACTTTGACAACGTAAAAGCTAGGTTTGGAAGGTAGACAGGAGGTAGAAAAAAGGGAAGATGGTATGAATGTCCTCATTTTACAAAGCGTGACGTTGAGAGAGTTTATAGTTGATCAACAATGTAGGTTTTTAAGTATATCACTACAAGTCAAAGAGATCATGAGCAGTGGAATAACTAATGATGACATAACTTTACTGAGCAGTGTGGACATAGGAAAGAGTGTAAAGGAACTAAACCCTTACTTAGTAAAATAGAAAGTGAACAGATAATGCCTCAAATTTAGTGAGAAAATAGTCATGTAAGAGTATTACTTGTAAATGGAGAAGAATTCAAAATAACAATAGTTGGACGTCCCTGGTGTCGCAGTGGTTAATAATCTGCCTGCCAAGGCAGGGGACACGGTTTCGAGCCCTGTTCCGGGATGTGTCCTAGAGGATGAATCTGGGAAGGGCTGAGAATTTAGGGGAGAGAGAGGCTTGTAGTCTGGAGTAGGATGTTGGCTTTTAAGATTTTAGAAGTATTTCATGATTGTAGGTCTGGGGAAATCTAAACTGCTCTTATGTGATTATAATCACCTTTGTCTTTTCTCCTTTCCTCCTCTGGTCCAGGCTTGGGCAGCTGGCCACAATGGCTGGTATAGATCAGTCAGATTTTCATTTACTAGGTCATCCCCAGATGAATTCTACTGTTAGTAGTCCATGTAAAGAAGAAAAGAAGGCACTTGAAGAAGAAAAATCAGAATCAAAACTGGGTGCCCCAGGACAAATGCAAAACATCCAAGTAAGTGGACAGAACAGCAATTAATGATTCTAAGAGTGATTAGCAAAAAGGAAATGACCAAGTCAGGGAGAAAACAATAATGATCAGTCTCTAATAGTTCATATGCTCAGGAGCTAGAAGACTCTGGAATCCTTTCCAAATCTGAGATTAGTAAATGTGTGCCCATTTCATGATACTGTATTGTTGTAAATAAGGAGACTGGAAGTTCTTTAGAAAATTTATGAGTTAAAACAAACTATCCTTAATGAAGAAAGAAAACATTAGATAAAATATTCCAGATTTTAAATTGTATAAATGTCTATTCTATTCATATTTTATCTAGGTTTCTATTTGTATGCAGTCAGCTTACAATGAAGGAACACTAATGAAGGTACACATACTGATATAATTTTTAAAATAAGTAATCCAGACATAGCTAATAGGTAACATATTATAGTGAATCACCTGGTTATGGGAATGGGAGGGGAAAACCTGTCAGCTTTTCCTCTAGCCTTACTTGGAGCCCCCATCAACCAATCTCAGACTGGTCTTGGGAACTGACAGCTTGAGAACACAGTCTGGTCACAAACTATATACTGTTTGCATGTGCCTGGAGGATAGAAAAGAAATTAATTATCTTACAGAATAGGGTTTTATTTTTAGTGAGGGAAAGGAAATGGGTAATAACTACCCCAGTCACCAAAGTCTGAAAATGTAGCGGACATAGCCTTGGATATAGCTAGGTTAAGCTGAGAATCACTTGGCAAGATATAATTAGAAAAAAACTGGCTCTGAAATCTTCTGAATATTGACTGTGTTAATAATAAGATTACAGAGTAACATTGAAGTTTTGAACTCTACTTTTTAATGGTTGGCTTTGTTCATCACTGAATTTTTGTCTTGTCTTTTGTTTTTCCCTCCAGTTTCAGAAGATTACAGGTGATGCTAGGATTCCTTTGCCTCTTGACTCCTTCCGTGTCCCAGTGTCTACTCAGGAGGCCTTAGAAACTTCCAAAGACAACCTGGGGGTCCCAGTCACAGAGCAGCAGCAGGAGTCTTTGAAGATTTCATTGTTAGAACATGTTCTCGTTCAGCAGACATCATTTCTGGAACTGGAAGTCAAAGAAAAGAAGAGGAATTATCTAGAAATAGCAGGTCTTCTTCAGAGAAAATGAGCAAAGCAGGTGAATATACCAAAAAATACTCTGCTAAGAAACAACCTGGGAAGGACCTGCATTCCTGCTCTGACTCACCTGTAAAGCAGAAAAGCAAAGGAATTGGGCAAAATAGTTCTTTGGTTAATAAACCAATTAAAAGTGAGTCTTCGAAAACACACATTTCTGTTAAGAAAGAGAGTAGAATAGTGACTGTTTCATCAAAGACAACTAAAAGTAAACTCAATCTACTAGAACATTCTGAAAGTGATACTCTTGGATCTGATTGTGTATTTCAAGAAAGCATCCATACTCTATCATGCCTAACATAGGTCTAAATCTTTTAAAATTATGTTTTTGCCTTCAAGTTTTAATAAATTACTTATGTTTTTATTATAGCATATGGTGTTTTCAGTTACTTGACTGGAAGCCATTAGAGAAAGATTTATCTATACTTTTTTATTATAATGAAAGTTTTGGTGTACTTTTCCTCATGACACTTTGCACCATTCATTCAGCTAGTATTTACTGAGGGCTTCATATGTACAGTACTTTTCTGGGTGCTATTGCTTTCAGCAGTGAACAAAATAAAGCCTTTACTCTCCTGGAACTAGCACTTTGTGGTGGGAGAAAACATAAACAACAAAGCAGGGTAAGGGTAAAAAGAGATGGGAATAATAAATGGAATAGTGTTACCATTTGGTTAAATGTCAAACTATTATAAATCACATGGCCAGAAGACATTGATGTATTTCAATTCACAATAACCAAAGAGCCTCAAACATTTACCAAGGCCCTTAACCGTGTTTATGGATTACAGCAACGCTCTGAGGTAGGGAACTGTTACCATTCCCATTTATAGATGAGGAGTATGAGGAGACATTATGTGAGTTGCCCAGAATTACACAGCTATAAGTAAGTGGGAAGCTGCGATTTGACCCGAACCCATGCTCTTTTTTTTTAAAATGTATGGACTTTATTATGTTTCATTTGTTTCTGATTTATGTGAATTTTTTCTTTAAAGATTTATTCTGATGTCGACCATTTTAAAGTGTTTATTGCATTTGTTACAGTATTGCTTCTGTTTTATATTTTGGTTTTTTGGCCACAAGGCATGTGGGATATTAGCTCCCTGACCAGGGATCGAACCCTCACCCCCTCCATTGGAAGGTAAAGTCTTAACCACTGGGCCACGAGGGAAGTTCCCCTTATGTGACTATTTTTCTGGCAATTTTTTTAAATTTTATTTTTTATTGATGTACAGTTGAATTACAGTGTTGTGTTAATTACTGCTGTATGGGAAAGTGACTCAGTTACACATTTATTTACATCCTTTTTCATATTCTTTTCTGTTACGGTTTATCACAGGATATAGAATATAGTTCCCTGTGCTCTACAGTAGGACCTTTTTGTTTTTTTAAAAATAAATCCACTTTATAAAAAATAAATGTATTAATTAATTTATTTATTTATGGCTGCGTTGGGCCTTCGTTGCTGCACGCGGGCTTTCTCTAGTTGAGGTGCACGGGCTTCTCATTGTGGTGGCTTCTCTTGTTGCAGAGCACGGGCTCTAGGTGCCTGGACTTCAGTAGTTGTGGCATCGGGCTTAGTTGCTCTCTGGCATGTGGGATCTTCCTAGACCAGAGCTTGAACCTGTGTCCCCTGCATTGGCAGGCATATTCTTTTTTTTTTTTTTTTCTGGGAACCCCCGGCAGGCATATTCTTAACCACTGTGCCACCAGGGAAGTCCCATGTAGGACCTTTTTGTTTATCCATCCTGTATATACACCACTTTGCATCTGCTAATCCCAAACTCCCAATCCAACCCTCTCCCACCCCCTCCCCCTTTGCAACCACCAGTCTATTCTCTATGTCCTTGGTTATGTTTCTGTTCACAGATAGGCAGAACCCAGGCTCTTAATTACTTTGTTATCCTGTATCCTTGTTAAGAGAAGAAGGGTTTAAGGAAGGCACCGAGAGAGAAGGCAGTGAGCACTGGAAGTGCAAAACAGTGGGGCTGTCAGAAAGCACACCTGTCTCCTTCCCCCATCGTGAGCCGAATTTTTAAACGGCAGAGTATGTAAGAGTATGTGATGACACATCTCTGGATTAAATTATGTCTCCCTGGTAAAACATGTACAGATAAGTCTTTAGTTCGATCAGAGTGAAAGGTGAGATCAGAGAAAAGCTGGAGTGTCAGATTTCTTTTAGAAGGTCCTACCTGATTTTTACTAAGAGGGCTGCTACAGTACTAGTTAGTTCATTAGTCATGGATTGAGTGTTTGGGGAGTAAAACAATGAGCAAGATGTAGCGTTGGCCCTTTAGCAGTGGGGTGAGAGGGGAAGACGCACAGCAGATGTCTCATCCTGCACGTGACATGCTGTGACGGGCATATTCAGGGCGTTTGGTCAGTGTTTGTGGAAGAAGAGGGGGAGCTGTGAGGCAAAGAAAAATCATTGAAAGAGGCAGTCCCTAAGCTAAGTCTTAAAGGACTCGTGAAAAACTGGTGAGTCAGCCGGTGAAGGGAAAGGACACTCAAGGCAGAGAGGACAGCAGAAGTCCAGAGCCATAAGTGTGTGAGGGGTGTGTTACGGAGCCACAGGCATAGGCTCTGGAGGATCAGTGCAGTGTCCCCAGGCAGTGGCAAGTGCCCCTAACGGAGGCAGCAAGGAGGAGGAGAGCGGGTCTTAATTAACCACCCATGTGTGTGGAGCTGGTTTCCTCAGAAAACAGCTAAGAATGGAAAGGACAAGTTCAGGTGGCATTTTAGGCCACTGACGTCAGTATGGATGAGGAATTTGAAGAAGCCTGGAGACAATTATGCCCCACTCTTCTGAGGAGCAGTGTTTTTTATTTTCAAGTGGGACTTTCACGCTGCCACCTCCTCTCCTGTCCCTACTGAAAGGTTTATAGGCCGGCAGAAGGGAGAACCTGGCTTAAGTAAAGTTAATCAGGTTTCTTTACTGTACAGCTCCTCGGGGCTGCTGTAGGCTAGTGTTCATTCTGGATTGTCACAGCAGGAGTATGGTACACAGCCATCCTCAAAGCTATTTGACTCTAGAGTCCTTTTTTAACAAAAGTGTCTAACAACTGGTTCCACCAAACAGCAATTTGGTAACCTCTAGACCAGGTAATAGCAAGAAGAAAGGGGTCTGAAATAAGGTACAGATGAAGGGAGGAAATAAGTTCTAATTGTATTTAGGAAATTACAAGCAAAACTTGATCTTGGGAAATAAGGAAGAAGTAGGAGGTGGAGGCTGAACCCCCATCTGTGTGACTAAGGTTGGGTAGTGGTATCATTGAGTTTGGAAATAGGGGATAAAGAACTGAATTGGGGAAAAGACTTTAGTTCTGGACATGTAGAATTTTAAAGCACCTGTAGAATTCAGGAGACAAACTGGTAGATAACTGGACATGCACGTGAAGACATGGAAAGATAAAAATTTGAATGTCATCAGCACATATCAGCAGTCATTAAAATCATGAAAATGGATGAGATTTCAGAGAATTGTGAGTACTGACAACGTTTAAGTAATAAGCAGAGAAAGAATTCTGGGAAGGAGAGAGGTGATAGAGTTTCAAGAAGGAGGAAGTAGATGACAGTGTCATCCTTCAGAGAATGTGAGTGTCCATTGGATTTGGGCAGTTAGGTCCCCAGTGACCTTAGAGCAGTTCAGTGAAGTGGTGGACAAAAAGCCAGATGGCAATAAATTGAGGGTGTAGGGCTGCCAGTGGGGGCCAGGCGGGGCTAGTGAAGACAGTGGGAATAGGCTACTCTCAAGGAGTTTGGATGAAAAGAGAAAATAATTAGCAAAAAAGAATTTTTTAGAATGAGAAGGACTTATATTTTATATGTTGAAATGAAGGAACCGATAAAGGAGATCCTGAAGATGTAGATAATAATTTAGAGAATTGGGGAAACATGGACATATGAATAAGAAAAAAACCTTGCACAGTATATAAATATCACTTGTATCCTTTGAGTTGGATGGATACTGGTAAGTTTGGGAGGAAATAAAGGTAAGAAGAGATAGAAGTTAAATGAGTTTATACTGATAGCCTCAGTTTTCTTTGACATAGATTTTTCAGAGACACATATATACACTTACATAATTACAGTTTTAAAATTCTTTCATAGTTACATGTTTTATTAATCATGTCTGAGAAAAGTCATTGATTTTCATTTTGTACAGCATTATCTTGTAAGGACAAGATACAGTGACAACTTCCAAGCTTTTTGCATATCAAAGCTGAAACGGAAAGTATCTCCATAATGGAATTTTCACTTATTTGTAATAAGTTTATCCTTAGGAGGATACTTTCATAGTGTTTGATCACGGATGAGTTTGGGCATTGCTATCACTCAATAATGTTAAGCATCTGTCAGGTTCTCTCCTCTACTATATATTAATTTTTTCTCTGTGAATATTTATTGACGGCCTGTGGGAATAAGATACACCTAGGTCCTCTTTCCTTGGTATATTCACAAAAGCCTCTGAAACTAAATTTCCAAGTCAGGCCATACTAAGGCCTGGCATAATAAGTTTTCATCGTTAACAGTTTTTTTGTGTTTGTGGGGTTTTTTTTTTGTTTTTATTGTTTTGAGGCAAGGATAAGACACTGTCTTAACACAGTAGTTGTCCATTCCTTAATAAGTCAAAGAAGACATTGATGAAGCATGGTATTTTGAATATCCTTTCCACAGAATAGGTAATGGGCCATCCTGAAACTCTGGTGAGATGCTTATCATTTTCAGATTTTGGAGTGGCTGAGAAAACCCTATTACATCTTGAATTATCACTAGAAACATGAATTCAGCCAAATAAAAACAGTGCCTCTGCCTACTGAGGTTGTCAATTTCCATCTCAACAAAAGTGAACATTTCTCCTTTAGTTTAAAGTCAAGAAAATCCCCTCTGTCCAGGATGCAATAATGGGGTGTACAAAAGAGGAAAACTGAAGCTATTCCCTCTTTACACCTGAACAGTGAATTCATTCTGATATCAAATATTTGTTATGATTCTGT